TTACTCAAAATATGAGATAATGGCTGGTGAAATCCAATAGGAGCACTGCTCTTGGTGGCACACATCCCCAGGTGCAAGTACCCAAGTCATCCACAGACCAATGTGTTATGTAAAATGTACCTGATGCTGCACAAGGCAGGGCAGCTCTAGCACCCTTGAGGAGGCAGTAGGATTCTAGGTTGTATGCAAATTGTTAGCTTTTCCATGTAAAATGCTGAGAAACTTCCACTGCTGCTGCCCCAGGTTTTTTGCCTGAGACGTTTTCAGCCAAACAGTTCTATAGCTCCTGCAAAAATACAGTTCTCTTGACATCTGGTGTGTGTTAACCTTTGCACTGCTTAACCAAACATTAGGCTTTGCTAGTCATATGATAAGGTATATCCAGTGAAAAGAGTGGAATAATGGCAAGTTTCTTTTTCAAAAATAATATTACATCAATAGACACTGTTGTTTCTGCAGCATAGATTAATACTTTGGTGTGACTTCCCTGGAGTCAGAAAGCAATAGACTTAAATATTTGTAATCCAAGTAGTAAATATAAAACGCACAGGAGAAGCTGAGTTTGAGACCTGAGCATGCTTGGCCTTGGACAGGATGAGATAATTCAGAATGAAACTGCGGGATTGCTCTTGTGGCTTGTGAGACGGACACAAGAGGCTGCGCGTCGGCGCGCTCGCATGCCTGCACCAGCAGTGGCTGCAGACACCCATCCCGCACGATGAGGCTCTCCCTCTCTGCTCGTGCTTGCACAGGTCACCTGCGCTGTCCTCAGCAGAGCGAGAGCACTGCTGCATCGGCACCGCTGTGAGCAGTGTGAGTTTATCTTGCCGGGGCTGCCTTTACCCAGGAGAGAGACCCAGTCACCATCCAGCCTGCAGAAAGGGCAAAGGGGGAGCAGACAGCCTGGTAAAGAGAGACATTGTGCCCCGTCTGCAGCCCGTGCATCTGTTACATGGGGAAAAACTGCCATGGGAAAGAGAGCTCAGGAAAGGCAGGTAATGAATGTCGCATCTCGTGGCTGTAACTCGGCCAGACTTGCAGTGAGCAGAGGGAAGAGAATAGTTATTTGTCCCCAGAGGGTCCCAAATTTGCTTGGATGAAGAGCAGTGGTTCTGTCAGAGAGAATCCTTGGGCAGGAGCCTTGGGCAGGAGCCTCTGGATGTTTTGTCTAGCTTGTGCTCTCTTAGCACCTTGTTTTCCTGGCCCTTGCACTAAGTGTCTTGGAGGAGATGCAGAAGACATCACAGCTTTTGCCAGCTGACTCAAACAGTTTTGCCATTGTGCTGCATGGCTGTGATCTCTGCAAGCTTTTCCTCTTGCATTGTCAGGAAGAAGTATGAGTAGCTGGTTTAAGAAAACATTAACAGGGATATGTCATAGCTTTAAAAAGTGTTTGAAGGGAAGCAGAGCTGTTGCTTCCAATTTTTCACTCTGCTGTCTCCCTGATGAAATACAGTCATATCCACTTAAGTAATACCTTATGGAAAAGGAAGTGCCATGTTTTTATTAGACGTTTTTTATTACCAGCCTCAGTGAAAAGTGCAGTTGTGAGCAAGTATCTTATTCCTTATCCCTTTCACCAGCTTGTAATGCTGACAGAGAATGGCTCTTTTAGGGAGACGGAAATTTGCATCAACATTGACTGTGATATGTGGAAAATAAACCTAAAATGCTTAGGGCTGCAAGAGGCTTCTTCAGTTGTAATTATAATTTATGAAGCCTGATGCCACTATTTGCTCTGTAAGGAAAGGTCCTTATGATTTAAGTGGAGATTTCTGACTTTATCATCTTGAAGAGTACAAAATTCAACCCCTTATTGCAAGAGTATTTGTCAAGAGTGAATAATAGGGAATACTGTATTTTGCTGGGAGGCCCTTTATTTATGTGCTCCAGACCACATAACATATAAGATATCATTTAAGAAATTCAAATGAATAATAACTTATTCATGCACGATTTGGGCAACATATCTCAGAAGTCCAGGCGTTCAGTTTGTTCAGCTAAAACTATCCAGTTGTCTTCTCATAGAGCTGCTAGAAAACGACATTGGGAGTTAATAACTATTTTGGCTTCTAGATAAAGTGCTTCTCTTCCTGTGTTTGAAAGAAGCAGCACAAACCCAAAGGACTTTAGCACATATTGGCAAGCGTACACAGACAGCCCCGTTCCCTGTGCTCTGTTTCTTGGTTGTATATGGGAAGAAGCCTTGTTCTTCTGCTTGCACGTGCTTCCTGTGGAGGATTTGTCGGACCCTGCCTGGGCTGTCAGTGACTGTGTACCAATTATTTATGGAGCCTCAGTCATGGGAAGCATTGCCAAGCATCCCCAGCTATCTTGCTTCCCTTCCACAGGGAGAATAAAGCCTGATGTGTATTTCTGAGCAGAATAATTGCAGGTCAGAGACTTTAGGTTCCCGGGTGACAGGCTTTGCCTGAGAGATTATTGGCACCGAAGGTTCAGGGGTCAAACGCTTTGATGTCAGAATGTTCCATCGTGACACACTGGAATCACAGAATAAGCAAACAGTTTCACGTGGAAACTCCAACATAAAACGATCTTATGGATGACCTGTACCTGTTTGTCAAGAATCAGATCAAGAGGAGTTTAGCAGCTCTAATTATGGGTGCTAACTGAGATCCCTTTGACTTGCTTTTACGTCAACTAGGATCTAATTAACTTTCCCGAAAGGGAATGTTTATTAAGCTTCTTTCTGGGAGAGGAATTGATGTAGATTCATTTTGGTTTATGGTGGTAGCCAAGAGACCAACAGGTCTCATCACAAAATAAGCAACTTCTGCAGACTGCCTGGCCCTAGCTGGAGTAGATGGTGGTTTGATGCACAGCCGGCTTCAGTGCAAAGGGCCTGGGACCTTGGACCTGTGGCATTTCTTGTTTCTGGGAATGGGGCATGCCGGCGCCTCAGCTGGCACCAGAGTTTTTCACAGAAATAGCTTTTTTCTCAGTGTTCATCAAGACTGTCTGTACATGAGCTTTTATTTAAACACCTGGTTTTACGTAACCCGAATAGCAATCGCGCTCTGGTCTGCCTCCTCTTAGCGCTGCTGCCGCAGCAGGGACCTGGCCAGAATCTCCCCTCGGCAAGGTCTCCTCCCGAAATCCCATGTCGTTCTCACACAGTCTGCCTGGGAGGACAATGAGGATGGTGTTTCCTCTCTATGGAGATTATAAGCGAGACAAGCAGGTCTAGCCTAGGGAGAGGACATGCCTATTCTTAACTATTTTTATTATTTATTAATTAGTAGTAAATGCAGCAGTTATTTAAGCTTATGGAGGTGAGATGTATGCTGGTTGCTCTAGAGAAATTAGTGGACTTTTGCACGTGACAGCGCTGGCCGAGTGGCTGCTCGGAGCAGTCACAGGATTACACCCCTGAAACTTGCCAGATTTACCGGTGTTTGCAACCCTGCTGTGGTCACAGAGCAGAAAATACCTTGTATAATTTTTCACTTCTCAAGTTTCTTTATTTTTAAATCATTTTGCATTAGTGTATACTTCAAAATGCTCAATTTTCATCTATCAAATAGACTGGACATTTTAAAAGACAGAGTAGCATGGAGATTTCTTTTCATATTAGACACAGTAATTCTTAGCTTTTTGAAAAGAATCCAGCACCTTTGTCACAAAAAAACATGTTCATACTAGCTCTTCTGAGGTCTATTACAAAGTGGAACGGCCACAGATAACTTTATGCATGTATCATCCAGATATCTAACTTGATATCAACCATATCTGTGGAGCATTTTGAGTTTTTGAGTTAATGCCCAGTAACAATACCTCGGATTAAGCTGAAATGGATGTATGATATGTATGGTAAGTACAATTGCATGCCACTGATGCAAATAGTGCTTACTGTTCAAGTATTTAAACATGAGTTTCAACAGTCTCGAAACTCATTATGCAATATGTGAAATTCTGTTTTAAAAAGGCAAAATTACATTAGAATACATTAAACAAAAAGACAGAAGAAATAGAAACAGTTATTATGCTTTCCTAAAACTTTGTTACAAACTTAATATAATACAAGTTTTGATTGAAGGGAGAAGATTTTCGAGTGGAAGTGTTTGTAAGAGACCTGGTGGTGCCAGGACAGCTTATTACCTTGCATTGGAAAGTTTTTGTTTTTTCATGTCATGAAAGAATAGTTTTCCTTCAGTTAAGTAGGCAAAATTGTCTAAAATACAACAGTGGTGGCTACTGTGTTCAGAAGGCTTAATCTTTTCTGTATCTGATGTGGTATTTGGTAATGATTGTTTTGAAAAATATTTGAATTTGAGATTTAGCAATATGGTTTCAGGATAGTTGTGAGCTTGGAAGAAATCTCCTGCCACTTGCCATCAGCAAAGCACCTGTCCTCTGTATTCCTAAGGTGAAAGCCATCTCTTCCATTACAGGCAAGCCGCATTTTGCATTTACAGTTTTGCCTGCACTTTTTTGTTTTCTCTCTTCTTGCTTAGCCACGTGTATTTTCCATTCATATTACATGAAAACTCCGTGACTATCAAAGCATTTATTGCTGTTTTGAAGAAAGGCACAAGGAAAATGCGGCTTGCTGGCTCCAAATGCAGAATGCACAGAATTGACCAGAGAAGGGTTGGATGTGAATATGGCATTGCATTATCACTCATTGAATTCTTTCTTGTGCTGCTGACCTGTATCTTCCAAGCATCTTAGTCTCTAGGCAACGTTATTCCTGCTTTATATTTAGTGTTTTTAGCTAATATTCTGAAGACACACCTGTGGTAGAAAGACAATCCAAACAGTTATATTCGTTCAGACAATAATTAAGTCATGTCCTTCCTCAGATTTTTTTCCCGTGTTCTTTAAATGTCTCTGCACTTAAAGCATCATTCCCCTTTCAAGGGCCCAGGGCTGCAGGTTTTGCAGGCAAACGCATCTCGCAGCGATGAGGCTGATCAGAGCCACGTGGCATCCACTCTATGGACAGTCCCCTCTCAATACCCTCCTCGCGGCCGGAAGGGCTATTCGGAGCTGGGAGAGGCAGCAGAGTCCGCATCGTCTGCGTCCTGGTCCTGGGGGGACGCTGGCTGCCCGCCCTTAACGCGCTTCCACTTCATTCTTCTGTTCTGAAACCACACTTTCACCTGGACCGTGGAAAAGGAAATGTTACTAATTGGCTCCATTAAGCTGGGTAGGCAGACGCCACGTATCTATGTGTACATTGATAAATGGATGTTTTGTGGAATTCGGGAGGAAAGGTGGAAGGGGCATCACAAGGTTAACTAAGCCATCTCTCTAACAAGGGCAGGGATTATTCTTTCTGATCTGTTGTAGACATGTATTTCTCCTAGAAACCAGCAAAGGCAGCACAAGTGCTTTGCCCAGGGTCTGTCTCTGTATCAGCGAATCACATCAGTTTAATGGACATGGTACCCCTAAAGGCCTTTTAACAGCCAGGCAAACCAATCTAATGTTTCAGGAATTGTAATTTGCTTTATTTATCTGAGCAATTCCTCTGTTGTTCATTAAGCTTTGATAAGGAAATCCTGGCTATCACAATGGGAGAACAGAAATATCTGTCTCTGCAAGACTGTGTTTTTGTCTTCTCTTGTCCTGTCAAAATAGTACATGACCCAGGAAAGATGCAAGTTATTAATCATATAACATTATCATAACATCATATAACATCCTGGTAACTGAAACCTAACACAATATCTATATGCCATCTGCAAGACATAGGACTTCAGTATGTAGCAAAGACTGGTGAAAAACAACAGCTCAGTAGACATCCTAGTCATTCCTGTCCCTGTAGTTTAGAACTACATTTACTAATTACTTGAGGTAAATTTCAAAGGATACGCTTTGAAAGAATTTAGAGGTTTTGTACTAAAATACTTTTGCAACTGACAAAAGTCCGCCCTTGAGTAATATGTCAGTTTTTATGAGGAAGAAAATGTGAGGGAGCTGGGGAGGTCGGGGTTGGGGAATTACTTGTCTCTCCGTGAGATCCAGGTTTACAGCTATCTCGTATCTCCTGAGCCTTGTCAGATAATTATGGTGGGCAAATTCGGCTTCCAGCTCCCGTAGCTGCTCCTTAGTGAAAGCTGTCCTTTCCTTCCGTGATTTGCTGCTTGTTTCTGGCTTGTTGCTTGAGTTCTGGTTTTCTAAGAGGCAAGCACACATGTGGTGTAATTTGCAGTTACATTGATCAGGGGGAATATGTGTGTTAGAGAGGTCTGATGTAAACCTCAGACAAGCCATTGGCTGCCATTGCTACACTGCGGGTTAGTGAGATGGTAGCTAGTAATGCACGAACCAAGAAAAATTATCTTATTTTGTAGTGTTTGTCTGCAGGTGATTTCAAATTTTTCTTTCTTTATTGGCCTAATAATTTTTGAAGAAGGGCTCTGGGTGCCCAGGAAGGGAAAATTCTCCCATGTGGCCAGAAGCCATGTGTCCCCTTGCAGCACATGGCCAGTGTGTGTCCAGACACATGGCCAGAGCTGCAGGGAGAGCTTGGGAAGCAGTGATAAAAGCGCTGATGGGTTCCCCCATCCGCTTTATTTTGTGTGGGAGAGTAGAAGGTTGCGAGTGGGATGACAGGTAATTCTGTAGCTGCGTGGGGAGCCAGAAGGGCAGAGGTGGGAAGCGGTGGCATCACTTTGGGGGCTTTTTCTGCCCCCCAGGGGAGCTGCTCACATGGCAGCAGCTGCTGCTGGTGGCTTGGGGGCGTTTTGTGTCACAGTGATGGCATCGCTCACGTTGTGCCCACATGCTTATTGTTTTGGGCAGACAAGTGTGAAAAGAAAATGTCAGGGCTGCAGGCAATAAATGGCAAAAGGAGCATTTGTCTTCTTACAAACAAGCATGTGCTTTGGAATCACCTCCCCTCCCTGAAGACTAAGGCTGTGGTGACAGCACATCTGCCTCGTGCTGCCCCGGGTTCAGCTACAGCAGGACTTGGAGGAGTCAAGTACAAACACAGGAGATCATCAAAGCAAAAGCAGTTCAGTTTGGATGTTATACCCTGCGTTTCCCTAGGTAAAGAATTACAAAGCGTTTTCTCCATAAGCTTGATTTCTTAACTCCGGACCCAGAGCCCGCACTAGCCCACATCCCTGGTTTTGTGACCTACCTGCGTTTTCCTTTCTCCTCCTGTTCGCCTTTGGCTCGGTGCGGTCCGGAGCGTCGCGCGGCAGCTCGTAGGCGCCCAGCAGGCCGGGGCTGCCGCCGTGGGGCTCCGCCAGCGCTGGCTGGAGG